ATATATAAAGTAATTTTCCCACGGCACACCTTACACTATGTCACGGCACACTAGTGTGCCGCGGCACAGTGGTTGAAAAACACTGCTTTAGACTTCTATTTAGACACTTCCTATAGTTACTGTATTTTGAGCCATGATACATCATATCACAGAGCCATTGAATTTTTTGCACACGAATAAGAAAATGTTGCCCTCAGCTTTATATACTGTATTTTCATGGGACAACAATGTCTAGCCTTTTTTTTCCTGTCAATGAAGCTACATTTTTTCATACTGCTTTGCAATCATACATATTATTTATTTTAAAATAATAATGTATGATATACCTTCCACAGTATATGGAGATCATCAATAGGTACATAACTGTAACCTGCCATGTTTTTCTACTTAATTTATAAAGCTTACACTTAGAAGTTGATATCAGAAGGTTAAATGAGGATTGGAAAATACCAAGCTCCAATGTCAACTCGAACTCTGCCTTTCCTGCCTGGGCATGCACTGGAAATATCACACATGATGAAAGAGGAATCAGCTAACTAGATTGCACTGTTTTGTAGTGAGAACCATGAGAGCCACTCAAATTTTATTTGGCTTGATCTTTACAAAACAGGTTGGTCATGATTATTTTTTCCAAGATCATCAGGTCACAAATACTGGAAACCATTAATGCAGATGCTTCTCCTTCATTATTCGATAACATGGGATTAGGCACACAGAATTATGTTCAGAACTATGTAAAAAAAGTCAAAAACATTTTCCCCTCTCTAATGTATACTCAAAAGGCAAACTCTAATTATTCTATTTCTTTATGACAAATAGCAAACGCCGATTTATTTACAAAATATATAAAATATATTTATGTTTTATTCATGAGGTCAATTTAATAATTATCATTAACCTATTGATCTTTTGGCTATGATTCATTTTCTCAAAATTAGTTGAAAAAGAAAGTAGTGTTAGTTTGTGGAAAATCCTCCTAGGATGCTATTTTTAGCAGAATCAATGCATAACAATGAACAAGCTTTTGAGTTCTGCATAACCCTTTTTCAGACTACATGGTATGATTAAAAAAATGCTTTATGAAGACATGACATCCAAAATCTATCCTGGGACCATGGCTGGATTACACAGTTAGATTATGTAGGTATCAGGTTATATTCAAGACTTTTCAGTAAAACAGTAGTAGCTTACTTCTATTTGGCAAAAACTACACCCACGTTTTACCAAGATAGAGATATCTCTCCGTATCTGGGTGAGACATAGGAGTTTCCAGAAAGACGAAGAGCAGAAATGATGAAAACATCAACCATATAAACACAATGAAAACATACAAAAATAATGAAATTTGCTATATCTTCAAGAACACGAGGAAATGCTTGTTAAATACTTTATGACTGTTATACCCGGCACTATAATTGAACATCTCATTGATGGCACTATAATTGAATATCTCATTGATACTTTATATGGCCTACAAATATCTATAACATTTGAAAGAATTCAACAATACAACCTATACTTCAAATGGCCAGGTTTGTATTCTATTACCTTTGATGTCTTGTATTTGTCTCATGACTTCCTCTCTTTCTGCTTGTTCAGTTGCCGTGGTAACCCTGAAAGACCCCTCCCTTGTGAAAGTGGTTCTACTGGCATCAAAGGTGGCTGTCACCCCACATTCTTTCTCTCTCTTTTGCTTTCGCTCCAAACATGCTGCAAATGCACAGCCAACTGCATGACTCAACCTCTCTCCCTGAAAAAGATCTCACATTAATTAGAAACGAACCCAGAAACCACCCCACTACTGCCAAATGATAGCTGGCACTCCATATAATCAACCTTTTTGTGTAAAATCCAACCAAAAAGATTCAGAGCAACAAATGAAACTAGTTTTAAAATCACATGATTTTTAACCATTTGGAGAAAAGGAGACTGAATACTTTTGTTTACTTGGGATATTAAACTATGTTGGCCAAATACCTACTAAAATACTGTTATAAAAATCAAAAATTAAGTCTACACATTTTAAATATTTTCTACATTGCAAGTACATGAAGTCCATCATTCAGATCAACATTTGCACTGGACTGTTACAATCTTTAGAAATTTAACATATTTAGATTCAAATCCATAAGATTTATGAATGGGCTTTCTTTATTTACTGCATTTATAAATTGCCACAATAAATTAGGATTCTGGGTGGTGAACACACAATTGACATACCACATAAGGCCATAAATACAAGCTTCCAGCAAATAAAAATCATGCATTTTTAATTTTTATATACTATTTTTATTTATATACTAAAGTTGAATTAAAATCCGGGAAACATTCCCCACCCAGTACTGATTTGTACATGACATACTACTCTTTGTCAAGTGAAAAGACCTACCGTGTCTTTTACAGCCATAAAGCAATGACATATCCAACGTCTTGTAGTACCATCTCGACATATGTAAGAAAACGCTCGGTCAAAATTCCTATCCGGAGCACAGAAGGAGACCTTCTCTATTGTCTGATCAACTATAAGATCCTTTAAAAAAAAAAGGGACAATATATTTCAAGTCATTCCAGGAATTTGGAATACCACAGCAATATGTTTTTCAACTTGTCTTTCAAAAGAAAAATGTTTTTCTAATACAGGCAAATGTTTTTATCAGTACAGATTTCTGGCATAGGATACGTTGCATCTCTCAAGGAACCAGTAACATTTTATTTAGCTGAAGTATGGCAAGCTTGATCAGGATTTTAAAATGAGTTCCGTGGGAAATGGAGATAGTAAGATCTTCAGATGGGTTGTAAATCTACAGATCTACAAATGTATTTTAGAAGAAGCTGACAAGGTTGCTAGAAAGTAACCTAGCAAGCAACAATTAAAAAAAAAACCATTGGTTTACAACCTCAACATCCCTGTACTATTTCTCAGCATAGAAGAAATATGTATGATAAAACTTATTTTCCAATACAAATAAGTTTTCATAGAAATAACGGGGACCTGGATGGATGACTTATATAATGGGAGTACAGTAATTGAAGGACATAATTGCTTCAAAATGAATAGAAGCATTATTACAAAAGGAGGTTGAATTGCACTGTGAATTAGAAATATCACACTTGCTAAGAAATCTATATGAGCAAAGCTAGCAACACCTTAAACACAAATTTAATTAAATTCAAACTAAACAGAGGAACAAATAAAAGTTGCAGTTAATGTCTCCTACTGCCTCCCAGCCAAGGAGAAAATGTAGCCGATATTCTCCAAGTGCAAACGGAAGTTCTTTGAAAGAGGCATATAATAGTAGCAATGGGGGACAGAGTTATCAGCTGAGATTGGTGTTGCCAAGAAAAACAAAAAGAGCTTCTTCGGATATTAAAAAGAAAAAGAGATCAGCATGCCATCTGCTCACTGAAGGCAGCAAAATGGGAATAAGGTAACAAAGAAAAGGCTGAGCTACTTGAATTCTATTCTGACTCATTCTTCTCTAACAGGAAAGTATGTGTTCTACAAGACAATTGTGAAAAGAATCATTTAATTTTGGGACCAATACAAAATGGTCAGGGAATACCTATTTATTTTGAATGTTTAAATCTCCATTACATCCAAATGAACTGAAGTAATGTGTTTATAGTCTGGTCAAACCTTTCTGTATTATAACTGAGAAATCATGGAAGAAAAGAGAAGGGCTGGATGACTGCAGGGGGCAAATCTCCTTTTTTTCAAAAGAAAAAAAATGAAAATCTAAGAAACTATAGATTGGTTATTTTAAACAACCACATCCAGGAATATCCTAGAGGGGATTATAGGGATATCAATCTGTAAGCAGCCTGAAAACTACAGGAGAACTACTAAGAACTACAGGTAGTCCTCGATTTACGACCACAATTGAGAGGAAAATTTATGTTGCTAAGTAAAACATTTGTTAACCGAGTTACCCCATTTTATGAGTTTCACTTAACAATTGTTAAGTGAATCATTGCATTTGTTAAATCAGTAACTTGGTTCTTTAAGTGAATCTGGATTCCCCGTAGACTTTGCTTGTCAGAAGGTGGCAAAAGCAGATCACATGACCCCAAGATATTGCAGCCATCATAAATATGAACTGGTTGCCAAGCATCTGAATTTTGATCATGTGACCGTAGGGATGCTGCAACAGTAGCAAGTGTGAAAAACGGTTGTATGTCACTTTTTTTCAGAGCCGTTATAACTTTGAACAGTCACTAAATGAACTGTTGTAAGTCAAGGACTACCTGTACTCATAGTCAACATAGATTTTCCAAGAATAAGTCTTGCCAATCTAAGTTTCTGATTTTTGGCTGGGTATTTTAAGAGCTACTACAGCTATAAAATATCTTGGTTTTCGCAGAATGTCTCATGACGTTCTGCTTAACAAGCTAATGAAGTAGGGGCTGGATGGCTAAGTGGATATATATTTAGTCTGAATATTGTATACAAAGTGTGCTAACAGAAGGTCCTTCAGAAACTAGGGTGAAGAATTAACTGAGGTACCTCAAGATCTTAGCACAAGCACTGTCGTTTCTGCATCATGATTTATGTATTAGCAGATTGTTAATTCAGCCAATTGTGGGATTTTGTAGGATTTTTTTCCTACCATATCCAGTAAACCTAGATCCAGTAAACCAAATGTTTAACTGTTCAATATTTTTTTAATATCAGGATTTTTTACCCTCTTGCTTTTATGAATTCAGACATACACACTTATTCACTGAGGACATCAAAAGATAAAATGAAATTTTGTATTGACTTACAGTACTGTGCAAAAGTTTTAGGCAGGCGTGAAAAAACGCTGTAAAGAATGCTTTCAGACATATAAAGAATGATTGTTTATTTCTGTCAATTTTCAAAATGCAAAGTGAGCAAACAAAAGAAAAATCTAAATCAAATCAATATTTGGTGTGATCATCCTTTGCCTTCAAACCAGCATCAATTCTCATAGGTACACTTGCACAAAGGGATTTTGCAGGATTATAGTCAGGTGTATGATCAACCAATTACACCAAACAGGTGCTAATGATCATCAATGTCACATGTAAGTTGAAACCCAGTCATGAACTGAAACAGAAACAGCTGTCTAGGAGGCTTAAAACTGGGTGAGGAACAGCCAAACTCTGCTATCAAGGTGAGGTTGTGAAAAACAGTTTCACGTCATGGCAAGATTGCGCACAGCAACAAGACACAAGGTAGTTATACTGCATCGAAAAGGTCTCTCCCAGACAAAGACTTCAAAGCAGACTGGGGTTTCAAGATGTGCTGTTCAAGCTCTTTTGAAGAAGCACAAAGAAATGGGCAACGTTGAGGATCGTACATGTAGTGGTCGGCCAAGGAAACTTATGCAGCAGATGAAAGACACATCAAGCTTATCACCCTTCAAAATCAGAAGATGTCCAGCAGTGCCATCAGCTCAGAACTGGCAGAAACCAGTGGGATCCAGGTATACCCATCTACTATCTGGAGAGGTCTGGCCAGAAGTGGTCTTCATGGAAGTTGCAGCCAAAAAGCCATACCTCTGACATGGGAAAAAAGCCAAGCGACTAAAGTATGCATGAAAACATAGGAATTTTGGACTGATGAGTCAAAATTTGAAATATTTGGCTGCAGCAGAAGGCAGTTTGTTTGTCGAAGGGCTGGAGAGCGGTACAATAAAGAGTGTCTGCAGGCAACAGTGAAGCATGGTGGAGGTTGCTTGAATGTTTGGGGCTGCCTTTCTGCAAATAGAGTTGGAGATTTGGTCAGGATTAATGGTGGGCTCAATGCTGAGAAATACAGGCAGATACTTATCCATCATGCAATACCATCAGGGAGGCGTATGATTGGTCCCAAATTTATTCTGCAGCAGGACAACGACCCCAAGCATATGGCTAAAGTCATTAAGAACTATCTTCAGCGTAAAGAAGAACAAGAAATACTGGAAGTGAAGGCGTGGCCCCCATGGAGCCCTAATCTCAACCTCATCAAGTGTGTCTGGGATTATATGAAAAGACAGAAGGATGTGAGAAAGCCTACATCCACAGAAGATCTGTGGTTAGTTCTCCAAGATGTTTGGAACAACCTACCAGCCGAGTTCCTTCAAAAACTGTGTGCAAGTGTACCAGAAGAATTACTGCTGTTTTGAAGGCAAAGGGTGATCACACCAAATATTGATTTGATTTAGATTTTTCTTTTGTTTGCTCACTTTGCATTTTGAAAATTGACAAAAATAAACAACCATTATTTATATTTCTGAAAGCATTCCTTGTTTACAGCATTTTTTCACACCTGGCTACAACTTTCGCACAGTACTGTATATGAAAGGATCAGACAACATTTTGTTTAATTAACGTTGACTCAAAACCAAACAGCAGCTAACCTTTGTTTTCTCATCCACAACTCTGAGTCCATCTGCTGAAACCCACAGGACTGCTTTAACTGCCTTCTTTCCACTCTTGCGAGGAAGGAAAAAGAGAAAAAAAGGATTATTGCTAGGCTGTTAAACAAACTGAATTCTGATTTCCTCTTTCCAAGAAGCACAAAAGTCATAGAGACGATATCCAACTCCAGCAGGAATGCCCAAAGCCAGATATTCAGATCAAACAGCAAGAGCTCCAGAGAACCAAGCTGAAGCCAGTTTTTTTTAAAAAACACAATGCAAAAGGAAGGGGAAAGAACAGGATGAGTCAAGTGGGTTAAAAAAATTCATATAAAGGCAAAGAATTCAAACTCAAATTCTTTACCTATTTAAAACCAAATAAACCATCAGTTAACTCTGATGCTTAAGGAGTTACATCACAAGTAGCTTTCCCCCTTCCAACTTTTAGCAGTCAACTTTCTCTTTTTTCCATTATCTCAATATTCCACCCAAGTTCCTCTCAAAGGAATTATGCATAACACTGCCATTAATTTTAACATTTTCATAATTTAGCCTACTCTTTCCCCAAGAGCTCGTGTTAGGGATAAGCACTTCTACTGCCTTACTTTTGGTTTAAGCTAACTGGTAATAGAAGGTAATCCTTGTAGATATATGGATATTTCTATAAATATGGAAACTAAAATCCTGCCTCCCCCCCCCACACCTTTTATGAACTTACTTAAAATATCTAAACCATCCTTCCAGAAATACCAATGGTCTTTTCAGATTATGTACATTTTTATCCTGCCTTTCCTTAAAGTGCACAAGGAAGTACATAGTCCCTCCATCGCATTTACTGACTGGAAGCTTTCTGTGAGTGATGTAACACATTGGTGAATTGTTTTTATGCTGTCATCTATTGTTTTAGTTGTTGTAAACTCTCCAAAATCATATATATGAGGTGGGCAGCTACGGAAATTGAAATAAATATATAAATCCAATACAAGACTGGCCTTTTAGAAATCTTCACAAATACAAATTATAATAAGGAACATACCAGAAATGATAGTGGGAAGCACAGCTCCAAAAGAAAAGAACAGTTTGATTATCTGCATTTGTAGAGAAATATATTTCTCACAGATAATATGCTTAGTGATTGTGGCAGTTTTCACCTTCTGTCCTGTATTGTATAACCTAATTTGCTTATGTAACAATACATTAAATACAGCTAAGGTTATTTCAGCCATATTTTTATATGGTATGCTTTGCTAAATTCTCAGCTTATATAACTTGGCAGATCAGTGACTAAAATATTGTTAATTTGGTACTTTTTCACTGCAGTAAAAAAGAATATTCAATAGTTGTTTCATTTGCTTTTTCACCTAGTGTACATCTTTAGAGCTACTGTGAACCTACTTACAGCTTTAAAATTTAGCCTAAGACTGAACATGTATGGTAAAAGATTGTCATATACATCATAGCATACAGATTTATCAAAAAGATTTAATTTTTCCATTTATATTCTGCCTTTTTGGCCATAATTGTACTATGATTTTTCATCTAATTATGTAGTAAAGTGTCTTCATCATGAATCATGCCAAAGCTTAAGCTTCAAATATTGGATGCTTTGATTTTTGTAATTATAAAAATACTAAACTGGGAATCATGCTATCTTCCCTTCAAACTTCACTTCTGTCATATTTAATTAAAGTAGCATTAAGCAAGCAATCATAGCTTCTATCTGCAAAATAAGGATAAAATTGGACTTTCATATAGAGAGGGTTATTAAGGATTACAAAATAATTATGTGAAGTCAGTTGAATATCTAAAAGTGTCCTACTGCTAAGGTAAAATTTCCCATTCCAAGAAGGGATTACAACTTTATAGTAGAGTATAGTAGTCACAACAAATGTTAAGAAAAGTTACTTAACCAATAAGGCGCAATGAAAGAAAGGAAACACTTTTAGTCATAGAAGGGCATCAGGTTTATTTCAGAGACTCTATTTGAATTTATGTATGGAAAAGCAAACTTTCTAAAACTTCGATTTCTTATTTTCAAAAGCTAAAGAGTTCCATGCAAAATCCATGCAAAAAAATAATTAATCAATCTTTGGCCCAATACTTTTTCCTTGTAATTTCAATGAACTGGTTTCAACCCTGTCTTCTGAACTTTTCTGCTTACTGAACTGAGCATCAGAGTTCATCTTTTGATGTCTGTCACTCTATGGTTTTGTCTTGTTTAGCCACTGAATCAAGAGTTTTGTGACTATATCTCATTCTATTTGTGGTATTACACCCCTAAATGTGATGCAATGTAGAACTAATATCACCATTCTTTGTTACTGTTAATTTTGCTGCACTGTGTCTGACATTCCTTTTTTTTTCTTTGTTTCAATACTTATTTTTTCTAAAATTATAATAATGCACAAATTACCCTGATGGCCACCTTATGAAAAGACAGGATGGAAAATGTAAATGCATACACTCAGAAGAGCTGGAAACATCAGCACTCTTGGACAGTAAGTGAATCATTCATTAATTCTAAAATTACTTTTTACTGAATGTAAGTTATAAATATAACCCTAAATTATGTAGCCCAAAAGATTCTAGCTTGACCAGAATCTATGATAATGTGAGACCTTTGAGGGAGGGGTGAATGGAGAACCTTTTACAAGCTCCCAAGACAGGCTTTATTGCCATCCATTTTGTAGGATGTCATACATATCACAATGCTATACTATGGATGTAACTCCTTACAGCACAAAGACAATGAATCATTAAACTTACTTTTCCAAAGAAGCCTTTGAAGAACTTCCTTTCCTGGAGGAACAGGGGGGACAAGTCGAATGCTATTACTGTAGGTAGCTAAAGTGTCCCAAGGTTTCAAACCAACATATACATATAAAAATGGGGATTGAAGGAAAATAGGGAATGCTTAAGAGTTATCCATAGTGGATGTGACAGGCAGATGTGAAAAGTCCCATGAAAATGCATATAAAAGGCTTTACATGGACTTTTATTAGGACAGGCTATAGCTCTGAAATCAGTGGAAAGAGGGGGGGGGGAAGAATAATCAGATCCAATTTCATGCAAAATGTTTGCTTCATTTTTGTTTGTTCCCTTAGCTTTTAGTAGGGTTACAAGCCAAACTTGGCAGCAGACAAGGACTCGTTTCAAACTGGGTGATGATGATTTGGAACACACAGATTAATGTATGACATTTTGAAAACTGGAAATATTAACAGAGATCAAACAGCATGAATATTGCTAAGGTGGGGGCGGGGCGAATTGCTCTTTAAAAGTGTTCAAGCCTATATACCCATCTGGTTATTCTCAATTCATATTTCTAAAGCTGATCTGGCAAAAATGTAGAGCATCTTTATACCAAGGCTTGCTCAGTAGAATCTAAATGTTTTTCTCTAAAAAGGCTTCACACTAAATGCCTGTTAACATCACACAAATTATTCTTTCTGTAAATTTTCTTTCAGAAACTGTCAAGGAAAATGAGTAATCTACTAAAAACTGGAATAGCAACTTTTGCAACTTTAAGTTGTGTGGAGTTCAACTCCCAGAATTCTGTAACCAGAGCAGCTGGGAGTTGAAGTCCACATAGCTTAAAGTGGGAAGATTGAAAAGCACTGTTCCAGATGTTCTGAATGACAACCTTCATTTCTTTTTGCCAGTACTGGCTAGAAAGCTGAAACCCAACATCACCATTTACACAGCACAATTTATCTCCTCTCTACTATATTTATTATTCAATATTATCCAAATTCCAGTTTGCAGACGTAACATGCAATGTGTATTTAACATGCCCAGTTAAATAAATGGATGTTACAATTTGATATGCAATTAAATTTGGTAGACTTAGTATACATTTTACATGAAGCTTATTTTAGAGCTATTTACCTGTTTTAATCACAAATAAAAGCCTCAATGTATTTTTCTTAAAATCATTAATAAGGTATGGAAGAAACAAGAATTTAACATGCTCGTGTAATAATCATTGGTATGGCATATGAAATATTTTTATTCGTACGATCATAGCCTTCCAAATTCATAGGTTCATGATAGTTAGGAAAAAACCTCTCCATCAATATGATGTGCTATTGCAATTGAGTATTTTTCCCCATCTTAGAAATCTGCAAGTTGTCATTTTTTTCTCTAAATGTTCCCATATCTGTCACATGCCTATGGATTTCTCTGATGTTTATAGTTTAGGCCCTTGTACAATCAACAATGGATTTCTTTCAATCATCATAGTTATTTTCTTGCTGACACAGACAGAACACATAATGGAAAAAATATATAACAGATACCATGCTTCAGTGATCAAAGTAGCTTATTATTGCAGTACAACCTTACAGGATTCCCAAATAATTGTTGAGAATAATAAGAACATAAAGCTACATAGTTTTTAAAAATGACTGTCACACTGCCAAGTTAAGCATTAAATATCAATATAATCATCTTTCAGAGGGTACACCAGAAGCTATCTTGTGTGGGAGACTATAATTAGTTTCATTTTTAGAAAATGTTAACATAGAAAAAATTGAGATGATCCAGAGACAGTATTGGTGGAGAGCATGCAAAGTGGATTTAGAATAGCTATGGAAGTTAATATTCAGAAACACCACTAATATTTTAAATACAATAAAACTATGTTTCTCGTACCTGCTAAAACAAGAACATATATTAACAAATGTATCATACTTACAAACAAAAGCCTGACATGTTAGAACATCAACACTAAAGACAACTTTAGCTAAATTAAAAAGTATGAAGGAACTATAAAGATGTGTTGGGAATTTTGGAAGCTGCGGTCACGAACAGATTGGGAGAGACCAAGTCGAAAAAAGATTCCCACTTAGCAGCTAAACAGCATCTAATATCACAGCCCTCCCTACTGTCAGAATCAATCATTCTACAGTTTCTCTCCTATATGTTAGGTTGTCTATTAACAATGGTTATTACTTGCAAGACCATGCCATCATGTCCTTTCAAAATTTATTCACTGTTTTGACAAAATGTCTGACATGTTTTTCGTGCCAACAGAATTCAATGTAGACCAACATTTAAGCAGTTAGCACAATACAGTGTTAAAAATGATTTAATTGTATTTCCAAGCAAGCATTCCATTTAACTGTAACTTTACAATGCTGAATACCAATGCATGCAATTCAAAATACAATTGAAAATAGAAGTAATGAAATGCCTCATAACGGAATAGGTAATAACAAAAAGATTCCCATTCTCTGTAGTTTAACTGAGCTTGGATATGTTTTTCCCCTATGTAAAAGGAAAAGCAGGAATGAGTATCCCTAGAAAAAGAAAACAGAGTATATCTTTTGGAGTGGTGAAAATGTTCCATGTAATTTTTTGTTGTACACTAATTATCAAAATCCAGTGAATGCACCAACTGAAAGCAAGAAACAGGCATTAAAATGTCTAAAACAGTACAGAAAAAAGGGTGCGGCTATTCACAGTTCGGTGTGTTGTGTCAATATAACATGGCTACATTTAAAAAGAAAATCTAGACTCAACCACCTCTAAATGGCTTAAAGAGTGTTTTAAGAAAATTAGGCTCTACTGCTGCCTTCCCCAACATGGAATATTTCAGAACTTTAGAAAGCCTAAGGAAATACATCAGGTTAAAATGGGAGTTCACTCTATGAAACTGCATTTCAGATATGTTTTTAACAAACTAATCTATGTGACAAAAGCAATGTACTACTGGATGCCCATTTAACATTAGAAGCCTCTTTCAATAATTAGTAAAATATGGTTTGAGAAAAAAGGACTTCAAGGGTGGAAAATCGTTAAAATTAGCATTACGGATCAATGTTTTTTAAAAGCTGCATGGGCTCAATTTCGTACAAGTGTTTAGAAAATATTTAGCAGTTAAAAAAATATCTTTCTACTCTGAGATATTGCAAATATTAGGTGAAAATATGTTAAGAGTAGTAATGGCATCTTGTAACTTAGTCAAGAGAAACACAACTGAAAAATTCAGATGACATTAACTTCTACAACTGGGTTTTATTCAGAAAGTCTGAATTTGAGGTCACCCAACAAATGTGTCTTTCTAAAATTATTGTATTTTAAATTGTCCTGCATGTAGTTTCTATAAACAAATTTTCTGTGCTGCTTAGTTTTAGAATCTAGGCTGCTGTTCCAGAAGAATGTAATAGTAAACAGCAAAAGCTAACAACACCAGTTGGAAGACCATTATGGCATATGCTGTTTTTATTAGTGAGGAATCTGGACTTCAATCTTCATCCCATCCTTTCCCCCTCAATTTCTTCATACATAAGTGAAAACAGATGTTGCGAATGAAAACTGCTCTATGAACCAAATGTCAGCTGTTTAACTGAAAACCTCTAAAACCTCTGAAAACCTCTGTGTGTATGTGTGTGTGTGTACTGTATGTATAATGTTGGTGTATGCTTAGATACATAATTATTCCAAATAGCTAAGATGCTTTTACTATAAAGATAATGAGCTCAAGGACAATAGATACATCATACTTCAACATTTCAACATTTCAAATCAAAGTTTCTCAGTATTAGTTAAGGTGTCAGATAGCTATTACAATCCAGGACCATTGTTTCAACAATCTTCCTAAGCTATACTGCAATTCCTCAGTAATAATATGCAATACTTTTATTATTTTAATAAATAATGATCTGCTTTTGGGGAAAAAAGGCATGGCAATCTGAAGCTGGAAACATATAAAATAGATTAGTATACATACAGATTTTAGTCTTTTCACAGCATCTTCACATATATGCATTCCTCTGGATTCATCCACTTCTACGTGTCCCAGATACTGATAATGAAAGGGAAGAAAAAGATATTATATTAAAAGATCTTGTACAGACCAATTGACCTGTATCTAGTTATCCAGATTCAACAATTCAAAATTTCAAAGTAAACTTACATAATACTGCAAAACATCAAGAAACAGTGAGGCCTGTAAGCAAAAACAGAACCCTTCCTCCTTACAGAATAGCTTTAACTCAGGGATGTTGGAGGCCTTCCTCACATGAAGTGACCAAAAGATTAAGGGCAAGACTTTGACTTGCCCATTTCAAAACATTGATTTTCTTTGGCTTTAACCATTCTTTGGTCTCGCTTGTGTGCTTGTTTTCTTACTGTGTGTCCCAGTTCCTTTTGAGCTTCAGTTCAAGTACATATATCCTGACATTTTTCTGTAGAATTGCCGTAACAATTCAGAATGCATAGTTCCATCCATGTTGGCAATCTGTCCTGATCCAGAAGCAGCAAAAAAGCCCAAACCATAACATTACCAAGGTTATATTTCACAGATAAGAGTTTTATGCTGGAATGCATATTTTGTAAAATGCAAGGTCCTCCTATTTCAAGTCATGACACACTTCCACATACCTATGTTGTGAAGATCAGACCAGAATTGTTCTTTAAATAAGGCAGGATCTCACACACTTGCATCTAATTATCATCTCATTGACCTCAACACCTGGTTCTAATTTCCCCTTAGAAAGAACTGATAATCCTAGAAAAATCCATTCTTTTGCCCCACACCAATATATCGCTTTGGATCATTTTCTTGAATATATCAACAAACAGGTATAATGTTTTTGATTCATTTGTTTAATTAGGTTACCTTTATCTAGTTTTAATATTTTTTATGGGAAACAGATCATATTTACTTTACATTTATGTAGAGATATTGAAAATTAAAAAGGATTCTATGAATATTTCATTTTGTTTTATACTGCTCAGATTTCACTTTAAACACTGCCTATTTCTCAGGCAGAACACATTAAACATAATAGAATGACAAGAGTTGGAAGGTACCTTGAAGGTTTCTAGTCCAACCTCCACCCAGGAAAAACATATTCAGAGAAATAGAATAGGATCGAAGAAAGACTGGAGATGAGCCGATATCTCTTTTGAATTGTACTGGAAAAATTGGACTATACAGATAGTCCTTGATTTATAGTCATTAGTTTAGTGACCCTCTGAAATTACAATGGCACTGAAAATTTTTAACCCATTTTTACACTTACAACCATTGCAGCATTCCTGTGGTCATGTGATCAAAATTCAGCTGCTTGGCAACTAACTGATATTTATGACGTTTGCAGTGTGCCTGGGTCATGTGATCTTCTGACAAGCAAAGTCAATGAGGAAGTCAGATTTACTTAACAACTGTTTTACTAACTTAACAACTGCAGTGATTTTCTTAATTAACTGTGGCAAGAAAACCTAACAACTGTGGTTTTAAAATGGAGCAAAGTACACTTAACAACAGTCTTGCTTAGCAACAGAAACTGTGATCATAGGTTGAGTATTAAATTTTAAGAAGAGAAGAAAATACTGATAGTACTTTTCCAACAGTTGAAACAACACCAAACAAATCATCAAGATCTGTTTTCCACCTTTCAAGATTGAAATATATGTAAGCTAGGTATAATGTAAAGACAGCTTTTGAGTGAATGTTAGAAGAAAATTCTAGCTATAGTAGTATTTTTGGCAACAGAATCAATTAACTGGAAGATGGTGGGTTCCACGTCACTGGATGTGTTCAGTCAGCAACCTATCAGAGATGCTTTCATTTAAATTCCTGAAGAGAACAAGAGATTGGAGTCAACAGTCTATGCAACCCTTTCCAGTTTCAATTCCACATCCTTAATATGTGCTTGGAAAATTTAGTTTCAATGCAATCTGCTAGAATCACCTTGAGTGCTTATTGTCTGACATGTTATCTGATATCAATGCAAACTTACAAAAAATTCCTTTTTATACGATTGAAAAAAAATAATCTTCAGAGTAGTTCACAGTTAGCTATTCTGAAGGCTTAGACTAAGAATACATCATTCTGTATGGTTCAACCACTCGCATTGCCAAGAATCAAGACTGATTTTATGTCATAATCAGTTAGTCAATCAATCAATCAATCAATCAATCACATACTATAAACAGTTTTCTAACGTCGTCACCATAACAACTATCATTGCCTAGCTGGCACGTCAAAATTACTATGCACCATGAACATATATAATTTCATCATTGGCCACAGCTGTGTCACCTGGCTGTGCTCTTATTACCACTTTTATAAAAAAAATCTAGAAAACAGGGATCATTACATAAGTCATAACCAATTAATTTCAATTAGCAGCTATGGATATCTGGGTCTAGATCTGGGAATGTTCCATCTTTGGCCTTCAATGTTGTACTTCCCCTTTCAATGTTGGTACCTGATCTGTGTGTCTTCTTGACTCACAGCTCTTGCTTGAAAAACTGTTGGCAGCTGTTGCCAGGAAAGCCTTTACCCAACTCTGACAAGTGTACCCTTTCTTAGGTTGAGGATCCTTCAGTCAGTCAGTCAGTCAATCATGCTTTAGTCACCTCATGCAATGTGATCTAGAGGGAGCTGCCCTTGAAGATCACTTGGAAGTGTTAACTGTACCTGAATGCAGTGGCGCAAGTCATGTAAAAACTCTGCTTTCTGAGCTGTATTGGTTGCTAATTTTCTTCCAGGTGCAATTCAAGGTGCTGGTTGTTACCTATAAATATGGTCTGATTACTTGAGGGCATAGACTGGGGTACTTGAAGGACTACTTGAGAGACACTTGTCTCCCGTAGCATCTGCCTGGCCATTTATGATTCTCGAGGATTGGCTTGGCACATTTTGGGTTTCTTCAATTTAATAATATAATCTATCGTGACCCTGGAAGTGCAACTTTTCCATAGCAGCACCTGTCCTTTCGGATACGGTTCCTCCCAAGATCCAAATAGATCATATCCTGCTTTTGTTTAGAAGAACTATGAAGAATTAAGTTCTTCACCTGGGCCTTTAGTGAGGGAGAGTGACACCCTGGCTTCAGGGTGTCACTCAGTCTGATCTGTCACACTTACCATCTTTTATCATATTTTATGTTTTTGTGATTTTATTGTAATTTCTTTGATTGTTATGAGCCACCCAAATTCATTGACAGCCAGTCAGCATACAACTTTAATAAATTATTACAATGGTTCATCACACATTCGATGAGAAGTAAAGCATCTTCAAGCAAAACAAAGAAAGTCCGGTTGCCTTTTGAAAAAGCACCTTTGGGACAACCATGACCTGGATGACTGAGAATTTCCATAGACAATGCCACAGAACAGCATACATAGTATTATCTCCTTTGTAAATCATGTAACGAAGATTGAGTTGAGAGCATCTGACAGCTTAGGGTCACCAAGTAGACTTCAATGGCTGAGGGGGAACTAGAGCCCAGGTCTCCTTGAGGCTAGTCCCACACTGGCTATCACACTGGTTGAAAAATTCATGTTTTAAAACAAAAAAATCCAGAACTAAACACCTGCAATGCTGTATGCTTATTCAAAATCATTCTTTTGAACAGAGATAAAACTCCAGCTATGTCGCTTAGATTAAAGGCAGCTAAAATATTATTGTTGCACTATAAGAATAGCTAAAATAACTTGCCAAGGGAAAGAATGCACTTTCCCTGGAAGTAAATTCTTTATGCATATTCAAGTCCTTCCAGAAAAATGCTACTTACCCTGAAAAAGTTGCAAAATTATGAGGTCTCCATGTACAGTTGACATTTTAATAGTTTTAAACAGCTTCCTGACTAGCAATCGGTATTTGTTACAAAAGGAAAGTCAAACAGAATACAGGGTTTAAGAACGTTTTATAATCTTCCCTGACTTTTGATCTTTCTTGGCTACCGCCTTCTGACAGGCTGTTTCTCAGGCTCATTGCAAATATTCCACTGCAAATACTCCTTGCCTTTTTTTGCTTTAATGAACTCTTGGACAGACAACTCTCGACTGTGAAAAAAAAAGGCAGCACAGTACACAAATACTAGGTGTTTCTACCAGGAAATAGAAAAATACGGACGTCAGGGTTGTCTTGACTTGGCTTATTAATCGATATTCAGTAGTTACACAAGAACTAAATAGAGCTGTTAGAAAAAATTATTACCGAGGGATTATAGTACTGCAAGACATTGACGCTAATGTCAGAAAATTAAAGGAGCATACTTTTTTTAAACTTGAGCAAATAGAACTCCTCCTGCATATTCCTTACCCAAGAAAAATGGAAAAGACAGTTGGATATACAGATCCAACTTATATACTTGTAAGTAATTTAAATTTATACCCAATCAATTCAGGAAATTGAGTATTTTCCAATCAAGTCAACCATAATCAGTAGTGTTTACATTTCACCAGTTTGCTTGAAGAACAATTGGCAAGCATAACACTTCAAAACTAAAGCTCAGCAAACTGGTGTAGGAACAAGAGAAGAACACAGTTTTAGTGGTTGAATTCGTCCATCAGTCACTTTAAAAACATGCCCAGCAAAATTGAGTTGCATATTGAACGCTGCAGCGGACTCTATACTATTCCACAAATTCAAAGAAAGGAACTTAAAATCTTTTCTTTCCAGAATTTCAAGTATTTCATTTGCATCTTACTAATGAATAGAACTGCTGCCTTAAACCAATTTTCTGTTTTAATATGTTTTAAAAACACCATTATAATCATTCTTTCCCTGTCTTTCTTAAAATCCTTCTTGGCCAGTCTCGTGATTTATGTAGTTTTTATTTTCTTCAGTTCAACCAGACTCTTATGTTTATTTATTATAAGACTTCTTCCTGCTATTTAAACACTGCAAACTAACTTTCATACTTTATTTGAGGCCACGTGGGTTTGTGATTCTAATTATTGTTACACTTTTAAAGTCTCTAGAACAGAGTTCATTGCAACACTCCTTAAAAGCTTATTTACATAAATCTTTTTTATGAACCAATGAAGCTTCTCAAAAATGCTAAA